TTCCAAATGACTGCATATCCAGAGCTTGGAATGTTTTTTTTAAGTTATGGCTTCAAAAATAGTTATTTGCTTTCCTATTTTTCAACAGGAACTGAAATACTGTAGCTCCTTTTTTTCTAAAGATCTGAAAGCTGCAAGTCACTGTCTGTAGTTCAAAACACCTCCTGTCTACCTGGCTGTAGAGTAAATGCATACAAAAGACGATGATGCAGCAACCCTTGAACTATGAGATAGCCTTCTTCCATCATTCAGCAAGGCTGAATGTTTTCCTCACAACATTGTGAGGAAAACATACAAGGAAAGGAGTAAAGTTGTCCCCGATTAAGTTACAGTGGCAATGCAAATTATGGGCTCGTCTACTTGGGCTCAGTTGAAGCATGGTGGATCAGATTAAATGGAGTTGCTAGAAATCATGGAGTGCTCCAATAGGTCATTTGGTGTGATCCTTACATTCAACTAGCATACATACACCTCAAGCAACCCCATTTGGTCTAGCTTTTTCCTCTGTCAATTTGCTATATGGTGAAGTGGTTTAAGAAGAGAACTACTTTAGGATATTGGCAAATTAAACATTTCCTCTACTACTCCACAGAAGGGCAGAAGAAGTAAAAACAAAGTTAGACACTACTAGGGCACTGCATAACATTTTTAAAAATAACTTTTATTTAGAAAGCTTCCTCCTGGAAACAGGAGGACACAGAAGGGGGCAACCAGGAAATTTTTTTTTTAAAAAAAATGTTTGTCCTAAAGGTCCAGTTAAGAACATGCCTGCAGCCAAATCTACCATGCACCTGCCATTATGTTGAATGATTGCGGGGGGAAATGCGTGAACCAGCACATCTCCACAGCAGAACAAACAGGGGGTTAAATGCCCATCTGATCACACCTGTAGTTACAGCTTCATTATTGGGGAAATGTCACCCTGTCCACTACACTCCACTGACCCCCTCAGCCAGTTCTATACCTTCTTGTATCTAAGCCTGTCAGATCAAGTGTTTCCTCAACTTACCTCTCACCATGTCCCATATGGATTTTTGTCTTCAGCTGGGACTGGTCCCATCTAGCTTCTTTAGAAAGACTGATGATTTTACTTTCCTGGATGGGAACGGAGCTCTATATATGCAAGTATGTATAGGAGTATACAAATGCATGTAAACGATCTGAAATATGTTTGCCTTTGTGCTTTCTGCTGCTTCTTCTGGTTACAAACAGTGTATGTTCTGTGAGTGCTTTGTCAGTTGTGAATGCAGCTTATGGAAAATGAACAATTGTGCACTGACTTCACACCCAGCTTGGCAATGTTTTGGGCAATTACAGACCAAGGTGGCTCAAGTCTGCACTATTACAATGCAGATTTACATCATCTGAGGACTACAACTTATACATATTCCATTCCCTTAGATAAACTTTCCAATTATGAAGCTGTCAGAGTCCCAAGTGTTAAACATGAATGCTCATGGAATAGTTTTTAGTCCTTCATATACTTATGTTTTTAATTTCCCTCTGCTGCGCTGCTTGTCTTAGTAAGAACTGACTTAATGAATGACTTTGTCCCTCTGGAAGCAAATGGGAGTATATTTTCTGGGCTACTACTCCAGAATATAAGTGTAAATGTGTAAACTGAGGCAGCAAATTGCCACTCACATTCCTGGTCAATCACATTACTTCCTCACAATGATGAAAGCATGTACCAACTCATTAATTAGTGGCAATTTGCTGCTGCAACTTATGCAGTTACATTTAGGCTGGAGACTGTGGCCATTGTTGATGTAGTGTAAGGGTGTGGCCATCTCCTCACCTATGATAATGAATGTAAGATAATGTGAATTTCAAAATCTGAACCTTTGTTAGCAAAGAAGATTCCAGAATGATTCACCAGCTATATTCAATATTTAATCTTTATAAACCTTTTCAATCAATTACAGTGGTGCCTTGCTTAGCGATTGCTTCGTTTAACGATAAAATCACTTTTTTTGGAGTGATCTTGCGCTCCCTTTAACAATGGTTCCTATGGGCGATTTTTGCATGGCGATGTTTGGGACCATGCTTCGCATAGCGATGACAGCTTGGGTCCCCCTGTTTCGCTTAACTATGGTTTTGACAGCCTCATGTTGGCTATTTTTTAAATATTTAAAAATGTTTAGAATGCTTGAAATCATAAGTGCACTTAATAAACCCTTTGTTAAACTAATTTGACTTTGTTCCGACTCTTTTTAAATTTGTTGTAATTTTTCCCCCATTGAGATGCATTGAATAGGTTTCAATGCATTTCAATTGGGGAACCGTGTTTCGCTTAGCGATGTTTCCTATCATGATTTTCACTTAAGGACGGCAATCTGCTCCCATTGGAACAGATTATCCGGTTTTCAATGCATTTCTATGGGAAACCGTGTTTCGTTTAGCGATGAAATCACTTAACAGCGATTTTTTGAAAAACAGTTATCATCGTTAAGCGAGGCACCACTGTAGCTTGTTTCCGTTCTGAATGGTCAGGACCATAATGAGGCTTTGTTCCAGGATGCCAAATGATAGAAAGCTTTCATCTAATTTCCATGATTGGCCAGGCTTGTTTATTTTCATAGGAAATGACAGACGAGGTCCACAGGTTGAATTTAGCACACTCTCTGCATGCTTTGCAGTACACTGATACACCAGGCTGTCAGGGGGCGCAAAAGGAAGGTGGTCAATACTCCAGGCCCTGCTGAGGCCGCAGAGAGCAGATCTACGCATGGCTCAGAAGACCAGCTTCTGGGATGGACCTGGATGAGGAAGCAGGGTTCAGACAGAGGACTGGTCCACCTGGATCATGTAGGAAGACCAGGACTCCCCAACCAGAGAGAAGGCATACCTGGGGTCCGTAGCCTTGGAAGAAGAGATGGTGGTAAACTAATCCAGCTAGATCACGCATAGACCAGACTTCCTTGTTGGAGGGCAGACCTAAATAGGTCTTGGTGAACCAGGCCTCTGGGCTGAACAGTGCAGAAAGTCATTGTATGTGGCATGCTATTTACTCACCCACCCCCACCACTTTGGGTTTTCCCCCCTGTAGCTGTGACAGTGCTGCTGATGTAGAATTAGCACATCATGAATAAAGTTGATGTGAGGTGCATTTTTAATTGCTTTCCCTGGGTGCTAGTTACAACTCTGTGAATGGTGTTCGAATGGCTAATTATGTCGTTGTGCATGGGTCTGTGTATACTTGCTTCCTCAGAATACTCATGTTGAAGATAATGTGCAAAAATTCTCCTCTTTCTGTGCACATAAATACAAAAACCCTTCATGTATGCACAATCTCTGTGAAGCATGTCCATGACAGCTGCTTGTTATGTACATTAGCTGTTCAACATTCACACATCCAAACACTTAACAATTGTATTCAGTGACTGATGGAAAGTGAGAATCATATATTTTGGATGCTGCTCAGATTTACACTCATTTGATGTCAGAGGTCAATTCCAGCTGTATCACTGTGTAATAACTCATTTCCTTAAACTTAGGTCAGTAGGGTTTTTTTACATAGCTTTACTCTCTCAGAAATGTGCAACATGAACATAATAGTGTCATTAAGGAACCCAGAAAAAAATAACTTAATGCATTTAAGATTTTCAAAGTTACAATTGGCCTTTTGTTAAGTTGAGAAAAAATCAGCACATTTGTTAATCAAATTAATTTAAAAAGCAGCTTTTCAAAATAAAAGCAATGCTTTAAATAAATATCATCTCTTATATCCATAGAACACCCATTTCTAATAGAGGTAATGCAAATACATACTTAAGCATTGAGAGGACTGAAATATAGGAAAATCAGTAAGAACATTTACGCCAGATGCTATTACAGATGGTAAAATATGAGTTCTTGTGGCTGTTGTTGTTATGTCCTCTAGCTTCCCCATCAAACACAATTGTAGAAGACCACAGATATTGTATTCTCCAAATTTCAACAAGAAATCTCTGGGATCCCAAGACTGCGAATATCTCACAACTATCCACTATTTCAAGCAATTTATTTCTGCTACTATGCCTTTGGTGATTCTTGTCAAGGTACCTCCACATTTCTAATGTATTGTGTTTTCAGCCCAGTTCTCATAAACAAATTGGCTTGATGATAATATGGGTTGAGCAGGTCAGGACAAGCCATGTTGGTGTTGGCATGGTTATGCGACTGATTTCAGCACAAGCAGTCTGTAGCTCAGCCTGTTATCTGCTGCACCACTAACTCAAGCCACTTTCAGCTCCATGCTGTAATTTTTAGAAGTTACATAATACAGTATTAATGTATATGTGGCACTGTGCTGTTATGACATGGTACATGTCACATTTAATAATCCAATACAATAATCTCAGAACTGAACAGCTGGAAGAGACCCTATGGATTGCCGATTCCAGCCCTTGCCAAGGAGACACGGAGGGGGGGAATCAAACTCCCAACCTCTGGCTGTGCAGGCAGATGCCTAGACCATTGAGCTATCCAGCAGTTCTGTTAAATGGCCATGTAGGAGGACTCAGAGGCCCAGCTCTGACCAACCTTTCCCACATTTTTGCCAATTTTCTTTGTTTGGGAAAGTCCGCCTTTGGACATAACAAAACTTAGCTGCTACCCATCTGTCAGGGGCTGCTTTTCATGTTACATTTGAAAGACACAAGCACATTCTCACAATGTGATATCAGAAATTACACAAAAAATTCTGAGAGAACCATGCCTATTACTAAGATTAGAAAGAGAAGGGTCAAAAAATGGCAGAATCATGATTACAAATAATGCAGTTCACAACCCTTCCTTTGGAGTGAGCAGCGATGGATGTCATTTTCTGTTCCTTCTCCTCATGCTCTCAACTACAGGAGCAACTGCTGTGTGAACTAAGCCCATGTTTTCGGCATGTACCATAAAAAGTAGCCCTTGCTCATGTGATTTATGAAAGGCTCCTCACAGGAATGAAGGAAGCAGAATTAAGAACTTTGAGTTCTAATCTCAAGATCACAGTTTGTTTTATCTGATTTCAGGCAATGGCAGTGAAAATAGGAAAACAATCATCTTGAATGGATTAAACCTCGCCCTCACATTCTATTCTGTCTAAAGAACACTTGAAAGCTCACACTTCATAAATCAAAGTCTGGCATCACTCTGCCCACAGCTGCACACATTTTGCAAAGCTTCAATGGAGCCCCAGCTTTCTTGAAATAAAAGAAAATGAAAAAGAAAGAAGCATTGACTAATTTCTTCCATTAATATGCATTGTATAAGTGCATTTCACATTGTGACTAGCGACAAGTCAGTGGAATATTCATCAAAAATCCATCTGAGACCTTTTTTTAGAAAAAAAATCTGACTATTTAATATTTCATCAGCTTAATTTAATGGGTAAATTAATTATTTATCATTCCCACTATGATGAGGAATCCATTATTAATCTGTGTCAATAAAAAAATGGAGCTACCTGTTTTTTTTGGTTTTCTGTTTTGTTTTGTTCTGTTTGGTTGGTAAAAACCACAGCATAGTATGTTAGAAGTTGCCACTAAAAATGACAGCATGGTAAAATCAAGCGTAAAATCATTGTGTTATGTATTCTCTCTATCCTCCTAGGTCTTATAAAAATCTGATAAGATATGCCAAAATAATAAATAAAGAACAGGGCTAATAATGTAGCTCATGGCAGACCTTTCACTAGATCTCTCCACACGAACAGACACATACACAGAGCTTGGATTTATTAGAAATGCCACTGCTAGAGAGTTTAAACTTAGATAAATGAACTGCAATAAAACACTAGCATGGTGCGGAGATAATACATCCGAAACTCTGTAGAGGGCATTCTAGTGTAATCTTTCTTTTTTTCTTCTTTCTCTTTAATGCATTAAAAAAATAATTTCCGACTATTGAAATATATGGCACGCTGGACATCACTGCCGTCTTTCACAGCCTTCCGTTCTCATCCCCCATCTCCTTTTCTTCAATTGCCTCGAGGCATCTTTTGGACTTGGCATCCGTGTTCCCAGTTCCAGTTTTGCTCAGTCCACAAGACAAGCAAGCCAAGTGCACCTGCTTCATGTTCTCTATGGCATCATTCTTGGCGTTCTTCAGGAGATCCCCTTGCCCCTAAAAATGAAACACAAACAACAAGGAAAGAAAGAAAGAAAAGGTCACAGATGAATACAGGGGCTTAAAAATATAAAGCAGAGCTGGGCGTCCTCACACTCCTATTGCAATGGTTTCTTAACAAAGCACAAGAGACACAGACAACTGGTCTTACTTCCCATCTGCGTTTGTGGGGGACCTGCAAGTCATTTTTAGCTCCAAGAGCAGACAGTGAATTCTGGCAGCTTAGTAAAAGTTTTGTTTCCCCTTCAATTCATATAAGGAACATAGGAAACTTCCTTCTGCTGGGTCAGACTGAGTCCATCAAGCCCGGTCTGGTCAACTCTGATAAACACCAATGGCGTTCTTGGGTTTCAGGTAAGCTTCTTCCCCAGCTTTACCTGGAGATATCTGGCACTTCCTGGTGGTCTCCATCCAAGGTCACACCAGTCTGACCATAGGTAAAGGTTCCCCTTGAGAAAAGTCCAGTCGTGTTCGACTCTAGGGGGCGGTGCTCATCCCCGTCTCCAAGCCGTAGAGCCAGCGTTTTGTCCGAAGACAATGTTCCGTGGTCACATGGCCAGTGCGACTTAGACACGGAACGCTGTTACCTTTCCTCTGAGGTGGTACCTATTTATCTACTTACTGTCTGACCATACTTAGTCTCTAAAAATCAGATAAGATTGAGTGTACTTAGCATGGTAGGGTGGACAGTCACCACAGGCTACAGTGAAAAAGTGTAGCAGCTCAACAGAGATGAAATCCGGTGTTTCACATTTAGTCTACTGTACGGAATAAGCTTTATAGCTTATTTACACTGCTTGAAGCCATCTCATGGCTTTAGGTAAGAAGGATCAGGTCTAACAATTACATGTGTGCACTTTAACTCTCACAAGAAATTTTAATTATGGTATATGGCAGATTTGATTTTTCTGAATCTTTCTAAACTTTCCACGAAGTTCTATACCTTTCTAAAGCATTGCAGGCGACCACCTGTTTGCAACTACTTACTTCCAAGCAGTGTCCAAAACAGGATCTGGAAAACTAGTGAGGTCTCACTTTCATATATTATCATCATAAGCTGGGGCACCCATTTAACAGGAAGAGTGAGGTAGATGTTTTTATAACAAATTAAGGGTAGAGGTGCACCTTCCAAGGAAGCATTAAGGTGTTGCCAAATCAGCAATCTTGTATTGAATTCCCCACTCCGCCACCAGCTTCTTTATTCATTCACTACCTTCCTGTACTGCCAAGTAAGCAGAGATCTCTAGATAGTTCACAAAACAGAATTAAAACCATAAATAAGAGAACAATACAACAGAAGGTGGAATGTAAAACAAATGAGAACAGCCACAGAACAGAACCAACAGAAAACCAGAAAGAGTTCAAGAATTAGAAAAGCACAGACACATTTATAAACGGAGAGATTTACAAATAAAAAGGCTGTAAGAATAATAATTGTAAAAAATTTACTGTTACAAAAACAGGGCCACAATGTAGAAGTTGGGGGAACCTCTTTGGGGAAGATATTCTACTCTGTTGTCCCCATCCCTAATACATGGTTGAAAATGTTCTGACATTATTACTTTGTGCCCTTTTTTGCTCACTCCTATGGTAACTAGTGTCACAGAGGTGGGGAAGAGGTAACACAGCAAAATGAAGTTAGAAATTATGCCACCCCAATATGTAGCATTGCATTCTATACAATGGGTAGAATAGGACTCAGAGCCATCAGGGAGAAAATGCTCTAATGCCACTATGCAGGATCCACATCTCCTCTGCTTGTACAATTTCCTTATTCTTCCTCAGAATGACCCAGCATTTACAGAGAATATGAAGCTACATATGGCTGGGAGAAGAAGAAACAATAATAATGACACAGCAAACTTTTCATTATGGTATATGGCAGAAACACATTGTTTTTTCGGTTTAAGAGGACTCTTATCTTTGCCACCTGCCACAGTGCAAAGCTCTTGAGACCATCACTGTACTTGCCCACAGTCCTTTCTCAACAAAACAGGGCACTAGGGGACAACCCATTGTGCCTCCACAGGCTGAGGCATGGCATACAATTTGGCATTCAGGGTGTCACTCCCATCCTGGTAAACAAGTCAAGAGACACAATGGTAGCTGGCAAGGTTTGGCACCAGTAAACAACACTTGAGGACAACAGCAGCTGCAAAGACCAGAGTGAGCTCAGATTACCTCACAAGATGATACCATCTGGAATAATCTTAACTATCCTGCTGGATGATTTAGGGGTAACAAAAGAGCCCTGTTCATCTGATGTGCCTGATGACTGCACTTCCTCATTGCTTTAGATCCTCTTAGGCTGGGACAACATGGTCAAACACTGTAGAATTTGCTCCACACGTAAAACAGGTTAATTTGATTAAAAAACAACAACTGATCACATGATGCAAAGGCTGAATCAGGTCCAGGCCTTTTTTGCTCCCAAAGTGGCCTTTTTTCTCTGCCACTGGAGAGCTTCTAAGTTTTTGATCCAGAATGATTCAAATAGGCTTTTCCCCGTGTATTTAGTTGTGATACAATCGTATAAAGATGGGGGCATGTCTGCAGGTAGTGTTTCAGTGACATATGCAGTTGAAGCATGACGTTCAGGACCAGGGGAACATGCCTGTAAAATCTTTCTTCTCCCATGATCACCCTCTGATTTTTAAAACAATTCTGTAAAAAAATTCTTACATATATGAGATTAGATCACTCTATCACCTTATCACTGGGCCACTGTTATTATTTCCCACTTTTGTGCCCCATAAAAGGATCGGTAGAGGTGGGGACAGAGAAGGAAGGAAGGATCAGCAGAAGCACGGCCAGAGAGACGAAGGGCTGTGAGTTGGAATGTGAATCACATGGGCATCCAGTATGAACAGTGGACTCTGGAATCAATCCGCAGCCCCTGTGTGAGCACAGGCTGTGATTTCAAATGTAATACAGGCGGTGAATCAAATTGCAGCAAAGCAATTCCAATGTAGTCCCAGTCCTAATCTATTATTACAATATGAATTAGTGACTCACCTCACAAGCCTTTCAGAGAAACCACTGGCAGGCAGAAGAAAGCATACACCTGGGGGTGGGGGTGGAGACTATATGGCCCCTCCAAACATGGCTGAACCGTAACACCCACTAACCCTTGCCAGCATAACCAATGATCAGTGTTCATGGGAGCTAACAATATCTGGAGAATATCTCTCTCTCCCTCCCTCTCTTTCTTCCTTTCCTTTCTTTCCCTTTCCTCTTTTAATTTTAGTTTTTGCTAGGCTGATTGCAGGGTTCTGGAAGTTTTTGTCCAAAAAAACTAATTCTTCCAACCTTTGCTATATGCAGATGGTAGTACAAACACTACACGCACAGGGCTTCACTTAATGCATAGACATAGGATGGAAAACCCATGTCAGAGAAAATGAACAGACCATCAACTGTTATGATCTTCAGGACATGATCAGGAAGAGGGATGGGGCTTCCAGATTAAACCTCCAGATTAACTCATTTTTGAGCTCTTTCAAAAGAAAGCCTCTTCAACCGAAAGAATTGTTTAAACAAAGGGGAGGAGGCATGAAAATTTATTCCCCCCCCTCCCCATGTTTCCCTCTTTCGAAAATCCTTTCTTCACCCAAATTGGCTGGGAAATGTTCCTTGCCTTGCTGCCAGCAGTCGCTCACCTCCTTGCCATGCTCTCCGCTTGGCCAGACCTACAATTTCCCCTCTCCTTCCTTCCCTCACCGCCGCCGCCACCACCATTGCCAAATGGAAAGCAACAATATGAAATGGTCCAAAAGAGGCACCCCCTTGCATGGAGAACAAAAGGAGAGGTGCAGGAAAAAAAAAACTAAACATGCATTCCTTGAAAGAAACTGAATCAGATGGAAAATTAAAGTTTCCAAGCACATCTCTAGTAAACATGCTAGAGGAGGAGGGAAGTACGAAGGTATTATCCCTTCTGTGGATGGAACAAAAAACCTTTCCATGAGACCCGGATGTACCTGGTGGTCACATCTCATAATGTCTCTGTTGTTGTCTTGGGCAATCATTTCACCAGGTGACCCACAGTTTTCTATTTTGGTGCTGCCAGCAACAGATTGTGTCACTGGATTAACCTGGACATCATGCAAAGCACTAATTGTCAATTACAAGTGTTTGCGCATCATTCCAACACTCCTGTGTTGATCAAAGCTAAATACCATGGGTAGACAGATGGAACAGTATTGCATCACTGGTGAAATGTAGTGGTGTGCGAGAGCCATGTTTATGGCTCTAACAAGACTGCTGTTGGAAAGGCACTCACAACACAGAAATGTGAAAGTGATTTGTTCTGAATGCAACAGGCCCCCACAGCCATATCATTTGCAACAAATCTAAAATGTAGTCCTAATTCTTTATGTTGGGCTTACATAGATTTAGTTTTCTGTAAATCTCTTGCTGTTACAGTAGCATTTATAAAGTTCTCAAAGGAAAATATGCCAGTGTTTTCCTTCTTAGATAAAGCTTGCTTTCAAATCTGCTTTGCTATAGATCTGGCCATAGGGTTCACTTTGTTTGATAATGTTAACGTGCTATGAAGCCTACATGAATTCGTGAAGTAGTTTGCACAAGGAAAACAGGGCTTGCTGCTTTCTCCCACACAGATTCAGGTTGTGAACTTACATATGTAGACCTTAGCTCCGAATGGACAAACAACTAATTTCAAAAAAACATGTTCCACTGAGGTTCTGATATGGTTTGGGCACAGCTTCCACTGGCATTTATTTACCCTGCAAAGAATCTGATTTGAATGGAATCCTGGGTCAAAGGCTAAGGGCTAAATCAGTTGTTAGCCCCAGTTTTCATGGACCACCTGAATTCATGTGACTTGCACAAGTCCTGACTAGCAAAAATAGCACAGGTTCAACAGATTTATTCCAGCTGGTGCTAGAACTGCAGCATAGCTGCAAAAAGTGATCAACAGGACCAGATAAGATTGTGCATTAAATTATCTAGTCTGCAGAGTTCTCAAGAATACA